ATAATAAGTATGTCGATAATAACTATATATTAATTATATTTAATATATTATGTTAGATATTACATTAACACTTCGTCAAACTCAAAAGCACCAAACTTAGAACACCTAAAAGGTGTTTTGAAAAGTGTTATGTTTTTGGTTTGAGAATGATTTAGCTCAAAAACACCATGGTTTTTAAAGGAATTGTGTTTTATTTTTTATAAAAATACTATGAAAACAAATAAAATATCATAGTATCCAAATAGAACCTAAATAAACCTAATAAAATTGAATCAGTAAATCTTCATTTGTTATCAATGTCTCTACAAAAAGCTGTTCATACCCAATAAAACAAATTTGATTTTTTAACTCTTCCTCTAGAATCAAATCTTCAAAACTTTATGAAGTGCCTTGAGCATAAAGTCAAACACTATATCTGTCAAAAATTGCGACTCTTTTTCAACATCTAGCTCTACTATTTTTGAGTTCTAGCTCTCCTATTACACACATCCTCCTAATGTCTATTTTATATTAGAGGTGAAGTATTATAAAAGGGGAGAGCTGTGAAGAGTGAAAAAATGCATCGGACAGAGAGAGAAAAGAGAGAGTTAGAGAGAGAAAGAAAAAGAAAAAGAGTTTTGAGAGTTCACTTCTTTGTGATTGAGGAGATATTTGAGAGTGATTTTCTTTATAATCTTCTCTATTTTGATTAGTAAATTCTTATGCTGTCTTCGTCTGTGAATGTAGGTCACACTGACTGAACCACGTTAAATCCATATGTGTTATCCTCTTTGTTTCTACTGTGTTTGTTGAGGGCCGACACGTCCACTCGCCGTGGAAGCAAATCACTTTGGGAGAAAGCCTTGTCTTTTGTTTTCACAAAACTCAAGCCAACCTCGATGTTCCAGTTTCGATATAAAACAAGAACAGAAGTGAGTATCTCATCGAGGTGAGATATACACTCTTCCCGATATCAAGTCAATGTCTGAATATCGAGGAAACCAACACAAGCAATAGCCAATACACAGAGAACAATAAAGAAGACATGAGATTTACATGGTTCGATAAATTTGCATACTGTAGGCGTCTAAAAATACCTATCGGTGTCCGCACACAACTCGAGATGGAGAGAAGATGACGATCGTAGTTATCCGAGTCTAGGAGGATTATCTAACGCCGACAAGTGCATGAACCGGAATGGCGAACCAACTGTGTCTCGTACGCTCACCGGCCACCTCCAATTGGCAGTCACACCTGTCGATCAACCCTCGCGCGTCAGTCAGCTCGCGCATGTCAGTTAGACACAAGTGACCAGACACACTCATCAGTCAGCTCGCGCGCGTCAGTCAGATCCAAAGTGCCCGACACGCTTGTCAGTCAGATCCAAAGTGCTCGACGCGCTTGTCGGTCAGATCCAAAATGCCCGACGCGATTGTCGGTCAGATCCAAAGTTCCCGCCACGCTTGTCGGCCAGTTCCAAGTATCGCAAAGAAGCTAACGAGCACATGAAGCAAGTTAACGATGCGTGCAAGTCAACAAGACGACCAAATACGTAAAATGGCAGAAAATACAAGTCCCGGAAAATCGAAAAAAACACCAAGGAGTTCAGCTGAGGTGGCGGACCCGCGCCGGCACGGGTCGGATCTGGCCGACCCGCGCCAGC